TCAGAAATCACACCTCTCCCTACAGGCCTCTGAGAGAGGAAGCTTTGACTGTGGTTACTTTCTTTGTGGTAAAACGAGACCCCTACTTTCCCAACAACTCTGGAAACATTCTCTAGGCTTCCACCAACAAATAATGCTTCTCTAAAAAAAAAAAAAGTATCTATCCCTAGTAATTATTGACCTGTAATAATAATAGGTCTTTCTAGACAGTTCTGTGGCACAAAAGAGTAGATAGAACAACCTATATAATGGGAGAGTATATTTAGGAACCACATATCTGATAAGGATTTAATATCCAGGATATATAAAGAACTCCTACAACTCAACAACAAAAAGACAAACAACCCAATCAGAAAATGGGCAAAGGGCTTGAATAGATATTTCACCAAAAAAGATATACAAATGGTCAATAAGGACATGAAAAGATGCTCAAAGTTATTAGTCACTAGAAAAATGCAAATCAAAACCAAAATGAGATACCACACCCACTAGGATGGCTATTCTCAGAAAAATGAAAAATAATAAGTGTTGGTGAGGATGTGGAGAAATTGGAACCCTCATCCATTGTTGGCAGAAATGTAATTTGGTGCAGTTCTATGGAAAACAGTTTGGTGGTTCCTCAAAAAGTTAAACATAGTGTTATCATATGACCCAGCAATTCCACTCATGGGTATATACCCAAAAGAAGTAGGAACACAAACATGCATGTACACCAAAATTCATTACAGCATTATTCACAATAGCCAAAAGGTGGAAACAACCCAAGTGTCCATCAAGAGATGATGAATACACAAAATGTGGTATATCCATACAATGGAATATTAGTCAGCCATAAGGAGAAATGAAGTTCTGGTACATGCTACAACATGGATCAACCTTGAAAACATGCTGAGTGAAACAAGTCAGACACAAAAAGACAAATATTGTCTGATTCCACTTATATGAAATATCTAGACTAGGCAAATGCATAGAGACCAAAGTTTATTAGCGGTTATCAGGGGCTGGGGGTAGGGGGAGGGAAAGGAGGAGTCATTGCTTAGTGGGCACTGAGTTTCTGTTAAGGGTGATAAAAAAAAAAAAAGGAAATAGTGCTGATGTTTTGCACAGTATGGTGAATATAATTAATGTCACTGACCGTCCACATAAAAACAGTTGAAATGACAAATATGTATATTTTACCACCATAAAATAAAAAAAAAAAAAGTAGATGGAGAGCTGCTCCACACACCTAGTCCTTAGCCCTGTTCACCTGAGCAGAGTGAGCACTGTTCTTTCTTGGGGAAAGTGAGGCCTAATATTTGATACTTAAGCAGGGGCCCAATGACTTTACTTTAAGAATGTAACAGAGGAGTCCCTGAATTGGGATCTGCTTCCAAGGTTCAGAGATCCTAAGGCACCATCAGCCTCTTATACGGTGATGAAGCCTGTCCTCTGTGTGTGGGCCCCCATGGTACAGCCCCTGCTGGTCATGTGCACCGTCTCAGACCAGCACTCAACTTGCAGTGTCTGCTGAGTTTCTCTGAGTGACCTACTTGATCCTTACATCTAGCCTGGACTTTTGTTCTCCTCTTAGTCTCCTGGCTGTGTTCCTTACGGGGAAGGCAGATCAAGGCAGCAGTAAGGTTCATCACAAAGTGGCATCCACCTAAGGAGGGATCAAAGAGAAAATGGTGGCAGGTAGCAAGTGGCAGGCAGTTTTGTTGCATCCACATGAAAGCGAGCCAGGTGCTGCATTTCATATTAACACACTCTGACTTCTCAGATCAGGGAGCTGCTTTTTACTGAAGCTACTTTTTACTTTGGTCTTTGGCTAGTTGTGTACTGGACCTCCTGGTTCTGCAGGTACCTGATGCCCACATTTCTCCAGGTCCCGGTTGGTAGGAATCATTTCTGTGAGTTTCCCTCTCATTGCATCTGTCTTGTTTGTGTGTTTTTATTCACCATGCAGTTGTCCCTTTTACATGTGGGTATTCTCTTAGCTGTTTCTCACTGTCTTAGTCATCTAGTGCTGCTATAACAGAAATACCACAAGTGGATGCCCTTAACAAAGAGAAATGTATTCTCTCGTAGTCTAGGAGGCTGGAAGTCTGAATTCAGGGTGCCAGCTCCAGGGGAAGGCTTTCTCTCTCTGTGGGCTCTGGGGGAAGGTCCTTGTCATCAATCTTCCCCAGTCAAGGAGCTTCTCAGCACAGAGACCCCAGGCCCAAAGGAGGCACTATTCTCCTGGCTCTTATTTCTTGGTGGTATGAGGTCCCCATGTCTCTCTGCTCACTTTTCTCTTTTATATCTCAAAAGATATTGATTTAAGACACAACCTAATCTTGTAGATTGAGTCCTGCCTCATTAACATAACCGCCTGTAATCCTGCCTCATTAACATCATAGAGGTAGGATTTACAATACACAGGAAAATCTCATCAAATGACAAAATAGTGGACAGTCACACAATACTGTAAATCATGGCCTAGGCCAAGTTGACAAATATTTTGGAGGGATACAATACAGTTCACTCCATGACACACATCTTGTTTAGTTTTTAAAAAACCAAAAAAACTTATTTGATCAAGAGTACTTTCTACGTGCACAACACTTTCCTCCATGTAGACAGAAGATGAGAAATTACAAGAATTAAGAACTGTAGTATTGTAAGCCCCCAAATTTTTCTACCTCCTTGCCCACGTAATCTGATCCTCAGCCCTATCTAGTAAGAATTTGAGTGTTTTGTCCCATGGAGGCCCTTCGACCCTCTCCTAATCATTTCTAACCCCTCTTTGTCTACCAGAATCTTGATTGTAATCAAGAAATAATTCATTTCGCAAGAGAGTAGCTGTTGGTGAGTAAGCTGAAGAAGAGGGACATCCCACTGTAGGTGGGTGCCATCCTTGGAGGTTGGCTGATGACAGATATTGAGGTGCCTGATATGGTTGTCCCATCCTCTCGAGAGACCCAGGTTCAGAACCTGCTTTGCAGGAAGAGTGCACAGCTCTGCGAGCTTGGCAGCACAGGAAAACCGGGACCTGGAGAAATGTGGACATCAGGTACCTGCAGAACCAGAAGGTCCAGTACCCAGGCTAGGCTGGGTGACACAGTGAAGGCCAGCCATGGAGCCGAGGAGTATGGGTGTCCTAGACCCCACCTTTTTTTTTTTAAGGAAAGGAAACTACCATTTACTTAGCACCTACTATGTGCTGGGCACTCAGCTGGCTCCTACCACCTCTTTTTTCTGCTTTTTAACTTGACACAGTGAAATTGGCCTTTTTTTGAGCACAGTTCTATGAATTTTAAAGCATGTATTGATTCCTGTAACCACCACCACATTCAATCAGAAAACTGAACATTTCCATCACCCCTAAAACTCCTTCATGCTGGCCTTTTGTAGTTGCACCTTCCCCTCATCCCTCACCTCTGGCAACCACTGATCTCCATCTTTTGGAGAATGTCATATAAATTGAATCATACTGACATTTGGGAATAATTTCTTTCAGAATAATTCATTTGAGATTCATCCAAGGTGATACATATAATAGTATTTTATTGCTGAGTAGTAGTTTGTTTTTTTTGGGTTTAGTATTCCATAGTATGTTGGTACCACACTTTGTTTATCCATTCACTTTTTGAAGGATATTTTGGTTGTTTCCAGGTTTTGACAATTATGAATACAGTTCTATAAACATTTGTATACAGATTTCTGTGTGGAGATAAGTTTTTATTTCTCTTGGGTACATACCTACGAGTGGGATTGCTGGGTTATATGGTTAGCATATGTTTATACACATTATAAGAGACTTCCCAAATCTCCCGTGCAGAATTCCAAATCATTTATATAGATAGTCAGCCCTCAAGGAGGTGAAGCATAGCTCCCCACTCCCTAAGTGTGGGCTATACATAGTGACTTTTCTTCCAAAGAATACAATATGGAAGAGAGGAAAAACAGTAACTTTACAGCAGAGAATCTTGACAAATGCCACCTCATCCAGGTGCGCATCAACAGTGATTTCCTTTTTCCCATCTTTACATATATGCACTTGCATAGTTAGAAGGGAGGTCCTAGCACCCACTCAGGCTTCAGGCTGAAGTGGGGTTTGACTCTAACCAAATGAGCTATACTCCTCTCCACCAGGAATATTAGAAAAGTATACATGGGATGTGCCGAAAGATTTGTTTGAGGGTAAAGAGCTTAATCTAGGACATCAAGTGTTTGTGTCCAGGTAGTCACCAATGTGTATAGCCTCGTGCTGCAGGATCTGGGCTTAATAAAGAAGTTACTCTTAAAGTAAGTCTCCCTCTGTCTCAAATAGAGCAAAACTTTCATTGCAAGAATAATTCTTGCTTTGGTAAGACTTTCTGAATTAATGGACAGTTGATACCACTAACTATATATCAGTGACTATCCATCTATACTATATGTGTTGACACTGATAAAAACAGACAATCTGAAAAGATTAAAGCAGAACTTTTGAACTGGCCAATTTCTCCAAGGGCCTCTAATATTGATGTGATCTTTTTGCCCTGTTGATTCATGTACTGAACATTCATTCTTCAAATTCCTGATATTAATAACGTTTAAATTTTGTGTAGTACTTGTTATGGATTGTATTGTATTCCCCAAAAATATGTGTTGTAAATCCTAACCTCTATAGGAATGAGTGCCAGAGCTCTGGTGGTGCAGTGATTAAGAGCTTGTCTTCTAACCAAAAGGTTGGCAGTTCGAATCCACCAGTCACTCCTTGGAAACCCTACGGGGCAGTTCTACTCTGTCCTGTAGGGTCGCTATGAGTCAGAATCAACCTGGTGGCAACAGGTTATAGGAATGGGTTATCTTTGTTACGTTAATGAATAGGATTAGTGTAGGGTATGTCATAAGTCAATCTCTTTTGAGATATGAAAGAGATTAAAGAAGCAAGTGACAGAAGCAGAGATGGGGGAAGAGAGATGCCAAGCCACATGAAGGTTGCTTAAGAATAGAAGCTCAGAAGAGACAAGGACCTTCACCCAGAGCCGACAGAGAGAAAGCCTTCCCCTAGAATTGGTGCCCTGAATTCGGACTTCTAGCCTCCTTAGCTGTGAGAAGATAAATTTCCGTTCGTTAAAGCCACCCATGTATGGTATTTCTATTACAGCCACGCTGGATAACTAAAACAGTACTTTACCCGTTTACCAATTTTTTTTCATTAGCTTGTTTAATCCCTATAGCAATAGTGTAAGGCAGATAGGATAGGTACGTCATTTTCCTATATTATTTTTATACAGTTGTGATTACAGTGAATGTATAATTTTATATCTTGATTTTTGATTTAACAAAGCATTTTTTCATGATGCAATATTGTCATTATTATTCTACATGATATTTCAGTGACATACCAGAACTTAAGTAACTACTCTCTTATTAAGCATTTAAGTATCGAATATGTTTTGCTGTTATAAATAATGCTATATATATTTTAACCATGTTTTGCGTTATTTTCCTAGGATAGATTAAATAAATAGACTTCAAATATGTTGTTAAACATGTTTCAACAACATTAGGGAGGATTTCAAAAGACCACAAATTGCTCATAGAAAACACCACCATAGCACAATAACTATTTTCACATTTCTCCATGTTGAGGAGAGTTTGGATTGGCCAAGGGATTTAGGAGGAGGGAGGTGTGTAGTGTGTGTGTATGTGTGTGTGGTGGTGGGGTAGTTGAAGAAAGCATTAGCAAAGGGACAGAAGAGAGAGTGTGTGTATATGTGTGAATATGAGGAAGCCCATCTTATTAAACCAGAAGTTCTGTCTTGAAGAGACCAACAACCAGATGCTTCAGTGAGGTGGCTTTTGCACTGTGGCAGCATCTGTGCCGCACTAGGTTGTTGGAGAGCTTTGGGGGCATCCAATTGTGGGGTGCCCTGACAGCCAACCAGAGATGATAGATTTCCTGGCTCAGCAGCAACGGACACAGAGATTTTTAAGCAGAGGACTGCATGCAGCGTGTCAGGTGGTCCCTGTGTCCAGGAGGATTTGTCCAGTCTTTTCTCCCGCACAGATGCAGATGTCCTCTGCTCACGGCTCTTTCCTTTGGCCCATCGTTGGGCCAGTGGGAGCAGAGCACCACACCCGAGGAAAGGGGACATTTGTTCAGTTCCATCCTAAGCTCTCTTGGGTTCTTTGGAAAAGGACCAAGTCCCAAGTCTTTGAGGGAGCCTATCCCTCATCCAGTAATTACTAAGTGCTGCTCCATCCCCAGGGTTGGGATAATATCCATTCATTTCACCACATCATCCAAAAGTATAATAGAAGGCCTAGCCAGTCTATATCCAAATTGGATCCAGCTGTCCCTAAATTATTAGCTGTGCCAATAGTTTATTGAAGAAGTACAGCTGCTCACCCTTAGAAGAAGATGTTTTGTGGTAAATTTTAACATTTGGTTATAGTGGAACCAAGTCAGTAGGTTAATGGTAAAAATTAATGGAAAATAGCTGTCACCAAATTCCACCTCACTGCCTTAAACTAGAGGGCTCGACAACTCACTCAGGAATTTCCTGCAATACATTGAGCATTAGTAAAGTACAAAATGTACATCTAGGTCCCTGTATGAGGTGACTTTCGAGTTCAGACATAGGGTAACTTTTGAAAAACTAAGACATTTCAAAGACTTAGACTGTGGAAGAGCTGTAGTTTTATAAATCATGGTATTTCTTTTCCTTCCTCCCTGACCCATTTGAGCTTATTGAACCCCTGGATCCTTCTGTTTTGGGTAACATAGTGAAATCAGATTTGCTCTGGAGCCTGCTGGTGCTGCTGCTGTACCCAGGGAGGTGGAATCACTAGGCAGTACACTCTGGGAGCCAGTGAATTTACCTCTTCCTCTGCAGTGTTCTGGTACTTAGCACAGTACCTGGCCCAGCACAGTGGGTTAAAACTGACCCAGTGAAGTCACAGTTTTGTGAGGTGGTCTCTGTGCAGTACTTAACTCATCTTATTCTCTTTCTGTGTGTCAAGACCAGCAGATGGTCCCTTATCTCTTTTTTCCTGTGAACTAGACTGTTTTAGATATTTTCTTCTTCCTGGAGGTCATAAAATAGGAGTTATCTTTGGATATAACCATAATAATAGTTGCAGTGGAGGAAACCTGCATTAAGCTTCATAAATGTTATCTCAGAATGGAAAGAAGCCAACCCGAGAGGTCACGTAGTCTGATGCCCTCTGTTTATTAACAACCTGTTAACAAGCAGATACTTTCTTTTTCCGGCTTTGCTAAAAAGGAGACTCACACAGGACCCTCGTGGTTGGTGGGACCACCTTGCTGCGGCTTCACTGCGAACATAAAACCATCTAGTCCTTCTTTCACACAACTCCTCACACACTTGAAGATTGTTGTCGTGTCTCCCCAGGTAAGTCCTTGGATGATGCAAGAAGTTAATGCCCTCGGCTGCTAACCAAAAGGTTGGAGGTTTGCATCGACCTAGGGGCACCTCAGAAGAAGGGCCTGACGATCTGCTTCTGGAAAAATCAGCCTTTGAAGAGTCTATGGAGCATAGCTGTATTCTGAGACACATGTGGTTGCCATGAGTTGGAATCAACTCGATGGCAACTGGTTTGGTTTTTTTTTTTTAATTCCCTCAACTTTCTCAACTGTTGCCCATGTGACACCAGTACCAGACTCCCTGACAAAGTTGGTGGGTTTCTCTCTCTCTTGCTCTCTCCTTTTTTTTTGGTATGCTTTCTGAATTCTCAATAGCTCTCTCCTTTTTCCTTTCCTTTTTTAAAGTCTTATAATCATTTATAAAATTAAAATGCCTTTGCAAGTTTCTTGTTTTTTCTAAAGTGATAAATCCTAATGGGTTGTTGCTTTGGACTTAACAATTGAGGTTCATGAGAAGGTAGATTCTAGGATGTGGTTGTTCGTAGTATTGCTGCTGTAAAAGAAGTTGATCATTCCCTCAAGGTGTGGAATTAAACATGATGCTCTACGAGCCATGTGACTAGCAGAAACAGAGGTGAGTGAAACCATCACCCTTGTTTGGGCTCAGTTATTTCTGTCAGTGTATCCTAAGGTCAGCTTAGAGTGTTATTGCCAGTGTCAAACACAGTGACTCGGAGCAAGCGTAACATCAACTAATAAGCTGTCTTCTCATATTGTACTTGTGTAGCTGTGGATCAAATGTCAGACTCCCTAACTAGTAACTGATGAGTTTTTTGCAGGCAGAAGCCATATGGTCATCACCTCTGTGCTTGCACACCTGCCGGGCATGTGGAAGGGCTCAGCTAATGCCCAGTAGATGAAGGCATTTCCTGTCCAGAGGCGTCTTTCAGACTCAGCCCATCATTGCTGTCTGCCAGAGTCTTGTTGGCTCCCCTTTGTGTCATTCTCCAAGTTAACCGTCTGCTCAGCTTTATGTTCTGCACATCCCCTATCAATATGTTATTTGCATTCGGATCCCAGTAATCAATAAAGGAGTTGGATAGAACCAAGATTAGAGTCCTTTGCCCGTTAGAGACGTCTTTCCAGGTTGATTCTGGGTAAGGTGGTTCAACCACCATATTTTATTGAATCCCAGCTTGCACAGTGATTTGTAGACTTCTCTTATTCTTCCTACTAGGTGTCTGCTTTTTGAAGACTGGGTCTATGAGTTCCTCTTCTTTGTATAATGCTTTGCACACAGTACCTACACAGAAAATAAATTTGTTTGTTTAGTTGACCAGTTGAACAAGTTTTTGTTCTGCCTCCTAGATTATATTGAGTCCTTTGAGATCAGGAATTGTGTTCTGTCTCTCATGCAGCCTGGCAGGTTGGTTTGTACTAGGTGCTTATAAATTTTATTGGTTAAAAGATCAGTGAATGATCTGTAGCTTTTTCTCCTTTTGGTTATAAAGTAAGTTGGCAGCAGGGCATTCATCTGATAGTCTTTCTAAGCGGCTTTCTCTCTTAACCAGGCACAGAGGGCAGTGGGAGGAAGTGTGTGGTGGTGATGAAACCCTGATGGGCGGGCTCGGCCCAGTGACTTTGCAGACTAATTCATGGATAAAGGAAGCTGCAAAGCAAATGCTGCCTGCTGCTGGGTGGAAGTCACCTTTTAACCCTAAGCCGTGGGTTTTCAACAACAGCAAGCGCTCACTGAGCATCTATCACTATTCTAGTCTGTTGTAAAGAAAACAGACCAGACTTCAGAGCCACAGCGAACCTGTATCTTCCTAAAATCATTAATCCTGGGCCGTGAAGAGGCACAGTCAATTAAATAGAGTCGCCCAGACATTCAGAAATCAGAATTCTCCTGAGAAGCTCTCCCTTCCATAGCGTTGCCTCTTGCAGGCCAGCTGCCAGTAAGTAGGTTATCTGTGTTGGACCCACATGTGCCTGGAGGAATAGGGTGGAGCTGCTGGCCCTACTGCCCTCCTCACTGTGACCTCTGTGGTTTTGCCTTCTTCACTGGGCAATACTCCCCACTACAGTAGCCCCAGGGCCCTGGTGGCACAGTGGTTAAGTGCTGGGCTGTTAACCAAAACGTCGGAGGTTTGAATTTACCAGTTCCTCCGTGGGAGAAAGATGTGGCAGTCTGCTTTCGTGAAAATATTACAGCCTTGGAAGCCCCATGAGGCAGTTCTACTCTGTCCTGTAGAGTTACTATGAGTTGGAATTGCCTCAACAGCAACAGGTTTTTTAAAATGAGTTTCAGAAGTAAACCCTGCAGATCTTATCTAAGATGCTGCTGCCGCCTGCATCTGAGAATGCAAGTCAGCCTCTTAAGCGTTCACAGCAGAATGACAGTTCTCTCTCCTCGTAGCTGCAGCCCAAGAGCCTGTGGGTCCTCTGAGGTTATTGAATCAGACTGTTGGCACCTCAGGCACTCTCCAGAGAATTCAACCATGAGTCATCTGTGATCCAGCACTTGCCAGAAGCCCTTCCAAGACATCTGGTACTTGAGGAGAGACTCTCTCATGGGCATATTAACTAGTTGTGTCTCAGGTTTGTGAAGCTCCGTCCCTGCACCACGTGAAGATCTCATCTTTGCTTAGTAGTGTGCTCCAGCCAGACAAGTACCTGTAACCAGATTGATTTCACATAGGCCTTCAGGTTGTTGGGGTGTCAGTTGAAGAAATATACGTTTTCACATGTCTGTATCTTTACAGAAACTTGTTACAAGAGACCTTTTTTGTTACAATAATTGGTGTCTTTTCATAAAAGGACCTTCTTGACAAATCCATTTCTAAATTTGGTGTCTGGAAAGAGTCACTCTGCAGATGAATTTGTCAGAATGAAAAGAATTTTATGACCCAGCATGTGTCCCCTTTTTGCTTTGGTTGCCAGAAAACTCAGCTAAACTCATTGTCCTACTGATGTAATGGATTTATTTGATTCCACTTGCAGCCTCTTGCTCTGTATGTTGCCCTGGATCCATATTGGCTGGGTATAAATCTATGTCTGAACAGCTGCCTGAACACAGCTGACCTCTAAAAGGATATTGGTGACATTTCCTTTTTCTTGACAGGTTATTCATTCACTGGAATGACTATTGCTTCATGGTCCCAAACAGCTCAGAATCCTTTCTTGGTTCCAAAACAAAGTCAGTTACCACTCAGCCAGAAAGGGATGAGCAGAATGATTTGTTAGGAGCTTCCTGGTTCAGGTAGTCTGTCTGACAGGCAGATGAAAGCCCTTGTTGTGGTCTCAAAGTACGAGAGGTTCTGAGCAACAGAAGGTGCATTTTCTCTTACTGCTCTGATGGCTGAGGTCTGTCGAATTACAGCTTAAGCACTAAAGGACCAGGACTTGTGGCAGCTCCAGGGGCCTCACCATGCCATACTCGGGGTACTCACAGCCTGAGCCCAGGGCCAGCCCTTGGTGTTCAGATTTCACCTGTGACTGTGGAGGGGGACATAGGGGAAGAAGGAGGAGACTTAAAGGGGTAGAATTGAGTGTGTTGAACAAATGCAGATGGGAGCCACAGGGCTCTACTGCTGAGGCTAATTACTTGTGGCAGGCTTGGGGGAGTCATGTCCTTAGGACTCAGAGGCTCTGCCAGCACAGATACTGGTCCTTGGGGAGACAGATGAGGGTTCTGTGGACCCTTGTTAAGTCACATTTCATCCTTCAGATTCATGGTGGTATATTTCCTTATGGGGTGATTGCCTTTAGCAGCATGTTCAAGGAAGTAAGATATTCTCCCTGGGTTTCTCTTCCTCCTTCTCCCTCTCCTTTGCTCTAGCAATTTCAGGGAGGCACAATTTTCCTGCAGACTGTTTGCTGTCATATCTGCTTAATAGCTGAACAAAAAGATAACAGTAATCTAATGATTGACCACGTTCACTTATCTCAAGACAGCTGCAGAAATCAGAAATCTAAAGCAGGAGTCTGTGTTCCCTGACTCCTGCATCGAAGCCCAGACAATTATTGTTAGGTCAGTTTAAAATAAGGCACTATTCAGGGGACCAGAGAAGACTCTACTCAAATCGGGTCACCCACATGTGTGCAGATGCCATAGGGAGAGCCACTAGCTAGATACAAAATAAAGATAGAATTTCTATAAGCACTGAAACTAAAATGTTTGCCCATTGACAGAGACTAGACAGAATATACAAAAATGGAGATGAAATTCTGTTGGCATGGTGAGATTAAGAGGTATTCTCTCCCTGCTATTTTCTAACCTTTCTATAATGATATGTGTGTCATAAAGGGAAATAAAAAACAAATGATCTCCACGAGCTTGAACAAGTTCTGGGAAGTGATCAATGTAACAGGGGTAAATGTGAAGTCCTACGTTCCGTTGGAAAGCTCAAATGGTAGAGAAGGGATTTGAACTTGGGCTGTAGTGCCTTCCTTTGCTGAGCATGGCCCCTGAATCTTCTTTCTTGGCCAGAGGTTTCCAAGCTTTCAGAATGCCTTAATGTCTTAGTAATTTTTTCCTGGCACCCCCTAGTGTAAAACAAATATCCAACAGTTCAAACAACTTAAGTAGTTAGGTTCTAACAACACAATAGTCAATTGTATTAGTTTCCTATTGCTGTTGCAACAAATAACCACAAACTTACCACAGTGCAATTATGTTTCATACTTTTCACTGGCCACCTACAAAATTTAGGCAAAGCAAAATCAAGGAGATGTCCTATGGGAGGTTAGCCCACCACTTTATATGAGGCTCCAGCCAGTCATGTTGAAGTTGTGGGTGGAGAGGGGTCAGAGTATAGCAGAAGCTAAAGCAGTGTCTGCGAGGGACCTTTGACCTCTGGTCCTGATGGTAGTGCTCAGCTCCACACACCCCTTAACCAGGTGACCCAATACAAGCCACACAGCCCCTCCAAGCCCCCAATTTCTCATCTCTGAAGTGGGATAAAAGCGATAATACTGCACCAATGGCTTGATGGTGTTGTTGAGAATCAATTTTTGTAACATATA